AAATAAGTAAATTATCTTTTAAACATAGAAATTTGTAAAATAGAAGAAAAAAAGGAGGGAAAATAGATATAAAATAGAATTAGAGTTGAGCAAGAATTAAGTTAAGATTCTCTATTACCTAAATTATATTTAATATTTATTTTAATATTTTTTAATCTTATATATATAACTTGAAATATAGACTAGATTTCTAGTTTTCATGGTTTTGAAGATTTTTTTAATAATGATTTTTATTTGGATATTTTTAATTGTGATAATTGAATATTATTATTATTTATAATAATGATAGATGAAAATTATTATTATTATTATTTATACTTAGTGTAGGGTCAAATTAATAAAAAAATAAAATTAGGGTTTGTGTTTAGAGTTTTTTTTTATATAAAAATAAGATTAGATTCCACAAAAGAAATTGATACAAAAGAGAGAGGGACCAAATCAATGCCCTCTAAACCATTAATGAACCTAAAGAAAGACAAATCAATCATATTCTTTACAAAATCAACTCTTAAAAAATTAGAAATTAGTGTAAGTATTAACTGAAAGACCTAAATTAGCAATCGAATTCGCACAACTATTCCCCTCTCTGAAGATGTGAGAAACCACAAAAGATAAATTTGTAGTAATATTCACACAATTAACCCGTCGAGTACGAATTTGTCAAGGAACTCTGTAGGGGGATTGAAAGCATACACCACCGCCAAAGAATCAGTTCCTAACCAAAATTTCCTCCAACCCTTCTCATGAGCGAACTCAATAGATAACACAACACCATTGAGCTCGGCAATAAGAGAATTGAAAATTCTCAAAAAATTAGCAAAGGCTTCAAAAAATCTACCATCAAAATCTCTAGCAATGCCACCACACGCCGAAGGTCCTGGATTTTCTAAAGAGACACCATCACAATTGATCTTGATCCAATTTTACGGAGATAGTTCCCAAATCATTTCGAGAATATTAAGTGCACAAAGAGGCTGAAAGATGACATGTAGCTAGGGTTGTCATCATGACAATTTTGAAATTATATTAAGTAAATATTTAGCCTTTATAAACAAAATTGATTAAATAATATACGAAATTTTAAAATTAATTTTTTTTATACAGTTCATATGGTGAACTGATATATTATATTTGTAATATTTTAAATTTAAAAAAATGTCAAAATCTTTTGATTTTAGAGTCTAAATAACAAGAATCATATCATAGTATTAAACAAGTTATTGTGGACTAATCTCTCTAGAAAAAAAAGAAGTGATATAATAATTACAAAAAGTAGTTGTTTAAAACTAAAAAGAAAGTGTAAACATAAAAAATTAAGTTTTATTATAATTTTAATTTCTTTATTTCAATTGATTCACAAAATTTTTCCTTCGACTTTAAATTCAAATTTTTTTAGTCTTTGTTTACTATTTTGCCACTTAAATTTCGTGTCACATGTGAAAAATATCAATCATCATATAATTTTTTTAAAACTTTAAAAATAAAAAATATGGCAACGTAATTATATTTTAATGAAAAAATGTGAAAAGAAGATAAAAGATATATGTGAAACTTTAAAGATATAAAAATATAAATTACACAAAAAAATTGACACGTAAGCAAATTTTGTTGGAAAAATTTGAGATGAGAACAAAAACAATAGTGAAAGAATGTTCTTTTTTATATTTCATACCACTTATATGGACAATATTTTTAAATTAAAAATACTTGTTACAACACTTATATGGTTAAATGATAAATAGCATGTCAGCAATATTTTAAATTTAGAAAAGTCTAGAATCATATCATATGTTTCAAATTCATAGTATATGAACAAATAACTGTGATATATTAGAAAAAAAGAAATTGATAGAATTATAATTATCATACCATGTATATGGTCAAATATTTAAATAGTATATATAATTTATAAAATTAAAAATATTGTAATCCCACTTATATGTTAAAATGATAAATAATATATGGTATTTTAAATTTAAAAAAAATCTTCAAATTTGAAAGTCTATATAACATAACAAGAATCATATCATATGTTTTAAAATCATAGCATCAAACACTTTATCTTAGAAGTATGAAGGTTTTTGTGTCCAAATATGTATTATTGTTTTCTATGTTACTAACTATTCTTGTTACTTTGCAATTTGAGGGTGGAAAAAGTAGTTCATTCCAAAATGATGAAGTAAAACTAACGATTACCAACACCTTACAAAACAACATTCAACTTGGTCTTCACTGTCAATCCAAAAATGATGATCTTGGAGGCCAAACACTAAGAACTTCAGAAAGTTTTTCTTTCACCTTTAGGCCAAACTTTTTTACAATTAATACCTTATTTTTTTGTAAGTTTACATGGGCTAATGAAGTTCACTACTTCGATGTTTATGTTCAAAGAAGAGATTTTGAGTCAAGCGACTGTAGGCGTACGTGTGATTATAACATAAAGGAATCAGGACCATGTAGGGCTAGTAATTGTTTTCTTGGAATAAGAATGTTGTGGTAGAAGGGAGACAATTTGATGAAAAAAATAACAATTTTAATGTGTAATGCAGTTACTGTATTTCCAAGTTATGGATGTTGAAGAATAAAACAAAATAAAATGTATTTGTTAGAGTAAATTTATTCACTGTTTTCCTGTGGATTTGAGCTAAAATCCGTAGGAAAGAGGTTTCCTGCGTTTTTTTTCTGTCGATTTTAGTTCTCAGCTAAAATCTTCACGTAATATTTTCGGCAGGAAGATATTAATCCGCAGGAAAGAAAATCTGCAGGTAAATCTACAGCTAATGTATCACAATGGTAAAATAAACTAAATTTAATTGATAAATCCACAGCTAATTATTGATCACACTTTGAATTGTATCTTGCAAATATTGTAGTTGAAACCCCACCTTAGAAAGCATGTGAGTATTATTATGATGCTTTGATAGACTTGTTGTTTTTGAGTCTGGATTGTTTGACCGCCGTTGCGTGTAATCATTTTTTACTTAGTAATATATTTTCTTTTTTCTAAAAAAAAGTGTGAGAAAAGATAAATAAATCAATTTTATTCTTTTATTTTAAAACAAAAATTAATTTAATAATGCAATAATTAATAATATATAAAATATAAATATAAAAAAATTTGTCAGTAAAATAATATTTAGTTGTTTATTTAAATAGTGAAATTTTCTCTTAATAAAAATTTGTGTGATAAAAATAAAAAACTATTTATTTTTTTATAAAATAAAAAATTAATAAGTTATTCAATAAAAGTAAGATTTAGTGACAAAAAAAATAAAGTGTCACCGAAAACGAGTGACACACAATAGGTCTATTTTTTTAGTGATCCTTATACAACTATCTTTATTCAAATCATGAGTTTTGTTCAATTTAACAACATATAAAGTGTACTTCTTTCATTCTCTTTTATAAGCAAATTTTAACTTTTTAAATTTATTGAATAAATGATGTATTTGAACAGTATATAGTCTAGATATATTAATTATTCAATAAATTTGAAAATTTTAAATTTACTTATAAAAAAGAATGAGTAGCTATTTATCTTCAATGCATTCTCTATGGAATTAAGCCCTATGGAATTCCTTCATATATAGACATCACTACTACACACAAGTATAGTGAAATCCTCTAACTTGTAACACACTTAATTACTTGAAAAAAATCAAAATGCATTTGAGATATTTTAAAGATAGGGAGTGTTGGACTTTCAACTAGGGAGCATTGAACATAGTGGGACTTTTTTCTAGAGCAACCCTTGTGAGAGACACACCACATACTCACCCAAAACCTTAAGGTTTTGGGTGAGTATGTGGTGTGTCTCTCACAAAGGTTGCTCTAGAAAAAAGTCCCAATATGTTCAATACTCCCTAGTTGAAAGTCCAACAGTGGTATCATGAGCCTTTGGTTCGAATAAAGGGAACGACTTACTTGTATCGAAAGTATCCCCATAGGTCGTGGGTTTGGTACAAGGGTGCAGTTGCACAGTTAAAGTTTCCGCTTAAGGGAGAGCATTGGGATAGACTCACACTTAAGGGAGAGTGTTAAGTATTAACAAGTGTGAGTAGGGTGGATAATAGTCCCACATTAGATAGAAATGTGGTGACTTGAGCATTTATAAGTGAGAGAACCCATACACCTATTACCTTAAGATTTTGGGTGAGTATGTGGTGTGTCTCTCACAAAGGTTGCTCTAGAAAAAGTCCCACTATGTTCAATGCTCCCTAGTTGAAAGTCCAACAGTGGTATCAGAGCCTGGTTTTTTTCCTCCAAATATTTCTTCTCTCATTCTTCTCTTTCTTGTTTGTTTTTTTTATTTTGTTGTTCTTGATAATTACTTGTTATTACCATTACTATCATATTATGGGTTTGTTCATCAATCTTGAGATCAAGATTGAAGGGAATTCTTCATAGGGTGTGAGGTGAATTTCTAACATCTGGTATCTAGAGCTCCGGTTGAGAGATTCAAGGAAGGAAGATAGTGATGGCAATGAACTATCCGAACGAAAACTTTCCGGCGACCCTGCCAATTCTCAAGAAAGACAATTATGAGAATTAGTGCAAGCAGATTAAGGTGATTTTCTGTTATCAAGATCTTTGGGATCTTGTGAAGGACGGAGTAACATCGCTTGGGGAGAACACAACGGAGGCGGAAAAGCCTGCGCACAAAGAATTGAAGAAGAAGGATTATAAAGCACTCTTTATAATTCATCAGTGTGTTGATCCTGATAACTTTGAAAAGGTTAGTGATGTTGATTCAGCAAAAGAAGCATGTGAGATTCTTGAAAAGTCGTTTGGAGGCGTAGAGAAGGTGAAAGAGGTGAGGTTACAAACTCACAAGAGAACCTATGAGTTGCTTCAGATGGAAGACAACAAAAGCATTACAGATTTCTTCACCAGAGTTACAAGGTTGGTAAATCAAATCAAAGTATGTGGAGAAGCGCTGACGACGAAAGCAGTTGTCTCAAAGATTTTGAGATCGTTGGCTCCAAAATTCGATCACGTGGTAGTTGCCATAGAAGAGTCGAAAAATCTATCAGTGTTGACGAAGGAAGAGCTTCAAGGGACTCTTGAGTCTCATGAACAGAGGATGGCTGAGAGAGCTGCAGGAAAGTCGAAAGATATGGCTTTGCAGGTGCAGTCAGAAAAGGAAAGAAAAGGCAAAGGTAGCTGGAATGGCAACAGAGGAGAAAACCAGTCGAATCAGAAGAAACCTTGGAACCAAGGCAACCAAAGAGGTGGTGCTGCAGGTAAAGGAAGAGGTGGTGGTCGAAAGACAGACAAAAGCCACATTCAATGTTTCAATTGCCAGAAGTATGGTAATTATGTTAGTGATTGTCCAGAAAGGAAGAGAAATCAAGAGACTGATGTAAAGCTGGCGAAACATGAAGAAGAAGAAACGTTGCTAATGGTCACAACAAAAGATGAAGAAAGATTCCAAGATCAGTGGTACTTGGACTCAGGATGCTCATCACAAATGACTGGAAGGAAAGATTGGTTTGTCAACATGAAGCCCTCGTTGAAGAACACATTGAAGTTTGCAAATGACAACACTCTAGCAACCGAAGGTGTTGGTGATGTTCTGATTATGAGGAAAGATGGCAAAAGGTCAACAATTTCCAATGTGTTGTACATACCAGACATGAAGAGTAATTTGCTCAGTATAGGGCAGCTTGGTGGTATTTTCCAGATTGAAGTCCATGATCGAAAGACAAAGTGGCCGAAAGCTGAAAATTCTGAGGACTGACGGTGGTGGAGAGTATGTGTCGAAAGAGTTCGATACACTATGTGTAAAAGAAGGGATTGTACATGAGGTGTTGCCACCATAAACTCCACAGCAAAATGGGATTGCAGAACGCAAGAATAGAACCATCATGAATATGGTGAGAAGTATGTTGAATGGAAAGCATCTACCTAAAGAGTTATGGGGAGAAGCAGTTTCGACAGCAACATATATATTGAACAGATGTCCGACGAAGAAGCTTGAAGGAATTACACCAGAAGAATGTTGGTATGGTGTCAAGCCTAGTCTCAGTCACTTGGAGGTGTTTGGATCTATAGCACATAGACATGTGCCAGATCAGTTGAGAAGGAAGCTTGATGATAAGTCGAATCAGATGATCTTGTTAGGATATCATTCGACAGGAGGTTACAAGCTGTTCGACCCAGTGAATAAGCAGTTAGTGATCAGCAGGGACGTGATCATAGATGAGCTTAAAAATGGGATTGGACTGAGAATACCAAGAAGGATTCAGTGAGAATCTCTTATGAAGAACCAGCCACTGAAGTCGAAATAGAAGTTCGACAGGAACCAGTTGCAGATGAAGCAGGTTCAAGCAGACCTCGACGAACAAGACACATGCCTGCAAGGTTGCAAGAATGTGTAATTACATCAGATGATGTAGTCGATGAAGAGGGTGAGTTGGTACATTATGCTTTCTACGCAGATGTCGAACCAGTCAATGTAGCTGAGGCATTGAAAGATTCGAAGTGGATGAAAGCAATGATTGAAGAGTTGGAGTCCATCGAAGTCAATGATACCTGGTCACTTGTCGAATTGCCGCAAGGCAAGAAGGCAATTGATGTGAAATGGGTTTACAAGGTGAAGGTAAATCCTAAAGGAGAAGTAACTCGAAACAAGGCGAGACTTGTGCAAAAGGATTTCTTCAGAAGGAAGGAATCGACTTCGATGAAGTATTTGCACCTGTTGCTAGAATCGAAACAATCAGGTTGGTTGTTGGTCTAGCAAATATGAACAACTGGCACACATGTCAGATGGACGTGAAGTGTGCATTCCTTAATGGCCCCTTAGACGAAGAAGTTTATGTTGCACAACCAGCTCGGTTTGTGAAACAAGGCGAAGAAATCACAGGGAAGAATCATGGAGCAATTACCATGAAGATAGACAACATGTCAGCTATCAACTTGGCGAAGAATCCAATAGCTCATGGTCGAAGCAAGCACATCGAAATGAGGTTCCATTATATTCGAGAGCAGGTAGCAGAAGGGAAGATGAAGTTAGAACACTGTAGAACTGAGAATCAGATTGCAGATATCATGACGAAGGGAGTGCAGGTCGAAGTCTTCAGAAGACTAAGAGCCATGATGAATGTAGACAGTTTAGACACAATGAATTAGGTGGTGTGTTAAATGTAATTCATTGTTTTGATTTGATTTGATATGATTAGATTTGATTTGAATATTTTGGGCCTTTTATCTTTTGGGCTTTTGTAAACCTAAAACTATAAATAGGGTGCCTTGCATTGTATTCAAACACAACATAGAATAGATTTCACAGTTGCAGTTTGAGCAAGTGAAAGTTCTATAAGCAATAAGAAATCCCACAGTTGTGGGTAACACATTCTCTCCAAATATTTCTTCTCTCATTCTTCTCTTTCTTGTTTGTTTTTTTTCTTTTGTTGTTCTTGATAATTACTTGTTATTACCATTACTATCATATTGTGGGTTTGTTCATCAATCTTGAGATCAAGATTGAAGGGAATTCTT